TTTCAATAGTTCAATTGCTACTATAATACAAAATAATTATATTATATGTTAAAAAATTGTTAGCCCAAAAACAAAGTAATTGCAATCTTTCATAGTAACATTAGGCGCACCTTAAAAAATATCTCTCTTTTTTTCCTAACTGTCTCCTGCCTATACGGGCCTTCTTTCTTTTCTAGATCTCTACTTAACTGAACTCGCCCATGCTGTAGCCTTAGCTGCATATACCCTATTCTCAGCGGCATTGGGCAATACAAAAAGCACTTTGTTAGCTGGCGGCGCAGTTGGCACAGAGAGACCAACCCAAAAAGCGCACAGAACAATGGCCAAAAGCGTAGCTGACCTCAGTGCGAGCATTTGGCCAAATGTGTGTGGGTGTAAGTTTGTGTAAGTGTGTGCAAGTGTGTGTGATTGTGTGCTAAGCTTAGCCCATTATGGCGCCTAACGTACGAAGCGTTGCAGGCAACAGAAGAACACTGAAAGAGAGAGAGAGAGAGAGATAGGTAGAGAGAGGGAGAAACAGAGAGAGGGCGAGACAGCGAGCTAGAACCAGTTGCAGTTGTGGATGCGGCTGCATCGGATGCTCATCAAAATGATTGCATCACGAAGAACAAATTTAAACGGCGATTACCGCCCAGCCACCCCCCTGCCGGACCCAGTCCGCCTTCTACTTCGGCTTTGGCTGCTATCCGTGTCCACTTTTTGGGGTACAGGCAATTTCTATAAATGCAGCTAAACGCATAAGCACAGCAACAACAACAGCCGCAACAACAACAACAACAGCAACGGCAGCAGCATCAGCAACACCAAGTCAGAGTCGTAGTCCATGTCCAAGTCAGAGTATGAATCTTTGCTTCGCTTGGATTTATGGGCTTTCACAAAATGCCGCTGTGATTAAGTTGCATGAAAATTATAGTTTCCCTAGAACTTTTATGTCGCTTTAATTGATGCAACTCCGGATGCGGTCCAGCCGGGCTGAGAGGCAGTTATGATCTTTGAGGCAAGTTGACAGATGAGCTCGCAGCATGCGGCAGCCAGCAGACAACTTGCGGCCAGTTGCAACAACTTTCAACAAGCTCGTTAAAAAAAGAACGCAAAACATTTGCTGGCTGAAGGGAGTATGTAGATATAATATATAATATTTATACATATGTACACATATATGTATTTATGTGCAGGCTGAGGCACGCAATTCCTGTGTAACGTCTGGCCAGCAGCACAAACTTGGCAACACACGCACACACATACATATATTTGCTTGCCTGCCAAACTGGCTAAATACGCTTGAAAAAATAACAACACGTTCTTTATACAATTACATTAGAAGGCCAATTAGCTGCAGTTCATGAAACTTTCGCTGCTTTATGCAGCACTCGAGCATGTCATTGGCCAATAAGCAGACGAGGCATGCAAGAATATGCATGCTGTTACAGAGCTAACTGCATGCATATTTCGGAAGTCATTTAAGCAGGCGACAATTCTGAAACGATAATTAACAGCCCATTGAGCAGGAAACTGATGGGGACTGTGGGACTTAAGAAAGTTCTACATTTTGATAGCTACCGACTCGTGACATGCAACAACATAGAACTTGCTTATGCAATGACTACAAATGATTTCTGCTTATATAGTCAACATCTCTGACTGTCTTCAGATGGCCAAAAGAGCGACACTCCATGACATATTCGTTTCCAAAGATGGCCTTATGAATCATTCTATAGGGAAACAAGCAAGTCACATATGCAAAAGCCGCTTCCTTTCCCAGCTCAAATCGCATGCCGCGGCCTCGACTCTAGTGGTCATTAATGCTCTCTTTTCATAGTAGTGTCTGCAGTTGTAGAATTTTGAAAGAATTTCTCGCACCTTTACCCTAGACATGCCTTTACCTTGCTTAACTGTACATTTGACTTCTTCTTGCCGCTCCCCTCGACAACAGCTCAACGCAATTTGTTGCAACTTGTCCGCCCGCGCAGCCAGCATTGGCACTGGCAAATTGGCAATTGCACATTTGAGGGACAAGTGTAAATATTGTGATTGCAAATACGCTTTCTGATTTATGACCGTAATTATATGCATACAGGGAAACATGCGGTACAGACTTGCATATATACGACAATATGCAAAATGAAATCGTGCGGCAAACGTGTAATTTAATGCGATTTTGTTGTAAGCAACGCCAACAACAAAGATGCAGAAATGAACAAGGTGATAGGGAGGAGGGAGAGAGAGAGGAAAGAGAGTGGGTAGAGAGAGAGAGAGAGAGCAGCAGAGTTGCAGCTGCAGCTGACGGGGCACAAATGAAAATGACAAAGTTGTGCGGCGCGCAGGCGCAGCCAGCTGACCGGCGTGGCACCCACTGTAACCACTGTAACCACTGTGCAAGCTCTTCGAGCCCACCGTCACAGTGCCTGCCAGTGTCAGTCCTTCAGTCTGCTTCGTACGGCTATCAGTTTAATGCTCGACTGACTTAACACGCAAATTAATTAAGTGCGACTGCGACTGCAACTGCGGCTTTTGCTTGTGTAGCCAACAAATTGCTTTGTGGTTGATCAGCAGCAACAGCAACAGCAACAACAACAGCAACAGCAACAGTGGCAACATGTTGCATACAAATTGTGGCAACATGCACATATCTGTGAATCTGCGCCTTGAACCCACAGCTTGACCTTGTCCCTGACCCTGACTATTAAGATGTTATCTATGCAGCTGCCGAATCGCATTCGCAACTGGAACACTGCCTGCAAGACATATATGCTTCGGCATAGCTCTGTCTTGTGTTGAGCGTATCGCAATCGCCATTCAGTTAATTCTACTTACATTTAGTTTACACTATGCTTTGCCGTCGTTAAAGGCAATAATCTAAATGAGCATTTTATTAAATCGAGATTGGCAATTTAGCATTATTTTATGCATATGTCTTCTGTGCATAAAATTAATTGAGATAAATATTTATGAACCTATTTAGTAATATCTATAATTTATGCTTTATGGATCTGTGGCAACAGATGTTGCTTGGGAAGTAGATGAGCATGATGGATCGATGTGGTATAAATGACATTTGTTGCTCATTAAATATGGTTTGAAAAGGGTATACTGTTTCATAGAAAGGAAGGCATATACATGAACATGACCTATAATATAGAGCTGAAGCGGGCTTGATGAGTCTCTTAACATCAATGAGATGATCAATCAACATTGATACTGCTTCCGAGAGTCAAACAGTCTCAAAAGCTATATAAACAGAGAACTGTTGAAATACATAAAAAAAAAAAAAAAAAGATTATATATTGGCTATATATAAAAAAAATAAAAAAAATAAAAAAATAAAAGTTTTATAAAATACTATGAAAATACAATACAATATATGGAAATGTACATATATACCAATATTATGGAATTCAACAAATAAAAGTCTGTAGAGAAAACAGTTTGCTGCAAGTTTTAATGCAATTTTTGCAGTGCATGAAATTAACTTTTTCAATTTTTTTCGAGACAGCTGTCCAAATATGACAGAGATGACAAAAAACAGTCAAGCGAAAAGATAAGCAAAAAATTGTTTCGCATAACTGGAACTTTTTGTGTTTCTCTATGTGCGACAACCCTTCAAGCAGCAGGCAGCAAACTGTCTTCCTTTTTTATTTCATTTTTCATGTTTCACTTTGAACTCTTTCTTCTGCGCCTTCAGCCGTCGTAATTATTACAACAACCTGCTGCCGAGCTCTATCTACAGCTCTAGAATTTTACAAAAATTTATTGATTGCATTTTATGGAGCTCATATCTTTGCGCTGTGCACGTTCTCCAATACACTTGCCCCAATTTCCGAGGCAACGACGATGTCGGCGGCATGCGCTACACAGAGAGGGCGTTACGTGGCGGAGGGGCGTGGCATTGCTCACTTATGTGGGGAAGATATTGAGGCACGGAGCGTCATCGGCTCTAATTGGAGTAAATTATGTTTACACATTTAGTGTGTGTGTGTGTTCAGGCACTTAGTGTGTGTGTGTGTGGTGTTAGTGTGTGTGTGTGTCTGATATCGTATGAAATGCATACTGAGACTCGCTTTTACATAATTAAGAACGACGTAGAGAGTAGAGGGTCGTGTGAGGTCTCCGCTACCGCTAGTTTTATCTCGCATTCGGATTTTGGAATACTTAATTAGTTCTCGCGCTACGATTTATGTGTAGCTCTTAGGAAATGGTTAGGAAATGCATTTACTAACAGGTTAAATGGGGAATGGCCTGACTAATATTTTACTATGGACGCATAAAAATGTCGGCAGGCATTAGATTTGACGTCATTAAGAACAGGAAAACGAGAAGTTATGAGTCGCACTCAGTTATCCGCTGGGAATGCTAAAAATATACAAGATCCAATTGGTTTTTTTTTTTTTTTTTTTTTTCAATCTTCCAAGAGCCAACTTGTCTGAGTCAATGAATTGAACCTTCTCCGCTTGAGTCAGTGATCTGTTAGCTGTTGTTAATCGCTTAGAAAAATTTCACGTATTTTTCACATTTCAAACGGTAACACCCCAATGCACAATCGAAAACCCTGGATCGACTTGCAGTAGCGCATATTTTCCTTTATGTAATTAGAATTAAATATAAGCGGGGTTTTCCAAGAAACAGAGAAGGAGAGAGAAACAGACAGAGAGGGAGTTAGAAATAGAGAGCAGAGCAGAGAGAGACAGAGTTTTTTTTTGAGAGAGAGTGGGAGAGCTCGAAGAGCTAGATTTCGCTTTTTTTTTTTCGTTTCTCTTACATTTTCTGTTTCAGTTTTATTTCTTTTTTTTTAATATTTGCTCAGTGCTCGTCTTGACGCACCCACTGTTCTGCGGGAAGCGGTGCAGGGAGAGCCCAGTATTACGGACCGGTTATCAGCGCGCTTCTAGGGGCTCGCATATTCTCGCTGCTCCAACTTTTTGCCAAGCTCAGTTTGTTTTTAAAGCTGCAGTCGAACTGAGCTACCCAACAGACGATCGCGTCGAGACGCAAAAAAAAAACAAAACAAAAAAACCAGAGGAGAAGAATTATTTTTATAAGTTTATCTATATATACACATGTGTATATAGATATAAAGCAGCAGCTAAACGAGTTTCCCTCTCCGCAGTAATTGGTCGCCATGCCGAACAAATACTGTAAGCTAAGAACAATTGCGGCAAGATCCGATGTGCGAAGCTCTAACCAATGCTCTCTGTCTCATCTCTTTACAGCATCAGCAGCGCTGCTTCTACTGGGCAGCTGCCTTAGCCTTTGCCTGTTCCTCACACCCGCCACGGGGAACGGACAGCGTATTATAGACTATGGCAACATCGTCTTCAGCAGGCGCTCTGGCTTTGACAACCAGATACAGAGCAGATCCCGTGTCGCGGCTCCGGCCCAGAATAGAATCGGCACAGTTCCGGCAGCAGCATTGCCACCAAATATCCAGCAACAACAATATCCCGCCCAGCCGCCAGCTCCAGTTGAAGCTCCGGACGCATCTCTAACTCCTGGCGTCACGGTGCTTGGCATCGATGGCTCAACCGACCAGTCAGCAGCTGGTCAATCGAGAGGCCCGTCGGGTCCCACACGTCCGCCGGCTCAGTTCAATTACCGTGAGCGCTTCAGCTCCACACTCTTTCAGCCCATCTCGCGCAACAATGCTAACCGTAATGTCGTCTATTCGCCCTCCTCGGTGCACGCTATGCTGGCCATGCTCTACGGCGTCTCAGCTGGAGAAACGGCCACCGAGCTTCGATCGGCTGGTCAATTCGACCAAAATCAGTTGACGACAGCCATGGACTTTCAGCGGGTAAGAAAACTGGAGCGAGAGCTGCAGAATGCTCAACTGATCGTGGCCAATAAGCTGTTCTATAACCATGAACTAGCTATGGTTAATCCCGATTACGCACGCTATGCCCATCAGTACTTCAACTCGGAGATTGAGGGGGTCAACATGAAGCGATCGGCCAATACGGCAGCCCGAATCAATGCCTGGGCAGCGGACGCCACACGCAATATTATACGCGACCTGGTCAGCCCCAACGATATTGACGATGAGACCCAAGCACTGCTGGTCAATGCCATTTACTTCAAGGCGCGCTGGGCAAACGAGTTTTCAGCCATGGATACAACGCCGGACAAGTTCCGTGTGAACAGCAACAAGGCCATTACGGTGGCCATGATGTACAACGACGATGTGTTCGCCTATGCCGAGCTGCCAGAGCTGGATGCCGTAGCCCTCGAGCTGCCCTATGCCGGCACTGAAGTGTCCATGCTATTCGTCTTGCCCAACCAGGTGGATGGTCTGCCCCAGCTGGAACGGCAACTGGAGCGCGTGGATCTAAATCAAATCTCCGCACGTCTACGTCGAGAGATGGTCGCAGTGCGGCTACCCAAATTCCGCATTGAGTTCGAACAGGATGTGACGCTTCCGCTGCAGGAGTTGGGCGTGCGTCGCATGTTCACTGCCAACTCACAGGTGAATACCATACTGATGCGACCCGTGAAAGTGTCTAAAATACTGCAAAAGGCCTTCATTGATGTCAACGAGGCTGGCTCTGAGGCAGCAGCTGCCACATGTAAGTTGAGACGCCTTCCAGCTGCAATTCAAAATTCACCTATTTATGCCATCTCTTTATATAGTTGCCAAATTTGTGCCGCTGCTGCTGCCAATGAAGTCACGCGAATTTATTGCCGATCATCCATTCCTGTTCGCCATACGCACACCTGAATCGGTGCTTTTCATTGGGCATGTGGTCCAGCCGCCGCAGATCAACGCTAGACAGTAGAGCCGTCCTTAGCCCCTAAGTTAACTGTACGCATTTGCTATTTGTAATACGTATTCGTAATTTTTACATTTACTCTAATATACACACACACACACACACACTCATCGTGTTAGATAACCTTTGCGCTGCACCTCGCAGATTGCCCAGCATTTGTGCCTTTTCCAGCTGAATCGTTAGCCTTTGGCTTTTGCCCGCTAAAAGCTCGGCAAACCCGTTTCGCTCAGCAGAGAGGCCCCTTAGGCTATTAATGGTAGCTGGTAGCTGATCGCTGGTAGCTATAACAATCTTTTACGTACGCCAATGGCCAATGTCATATAAACAAATGCAAATTTCATCAATCGTAACTTCCTCAATTCAACGCGCCTCTGGAAAGTCCAGCGACAGGTTTGCCTCCCGATGACTAAGGCGAAAAACCCCTTGAGAGAACTACTAAGAGTGAGACAAATGAAGCGTCTATCGTTGACATTGCATCATCACGACAATACAGAAATAAATAAATTGTAATAATAAATCAACGGACTGGCAAAGTTCTTGGGTAGAATAAAAACATGGGGACTTACGAACTGGAATCATCAATTGTAGATGTTTGTTTACGCAAATATGTTGCTGATAAGAAAAAAAACGGGTTTTTTTCTCATTGAACGCGTAGGTATTTAAACCGAAGCTGAAATTCTCTGAAATGATGTGAGTTAAATGATTTGAGATAGCAGATTATAGATCTATTATTATTTTGGCAAAAATGGGGTTCAAACTAGATTACCCAGGATTATGGATTATGCGAAAGAATAAACCTTATTCCCAAAGTTTTATATCATTACGATTTTATTTACTGATACCCAAGAATATATTTGTGCAATATAGTTTAATCATAATATATTTTTATTTATATGTGGTTTGAATATATATTCTCTCTGAGAAATATTCTTTATATCTTTAAGTTAATTGATTACAAATACATTTCTAATAGCTTTAATGGATCTGCGGAATCTGCTCAAATCTTGACAGTGCTGGCAATTAGGTCACTTACTAGATAATCATTCTATCTCATTCAGCTGTCATGCGGAGTCAACCTACCCTCTCTCGCTCGCTCTGTCTTATCAGAATTTCAATTAAAAGCAACTTTGAGTGTTTTTTTTGTAGATCTTAAACCGGCTCTGTGTCGCCGCCACATTCTGTTTTGATTTTCCGGCTCGCGTGTTTCTTTAATTGAGTGTGAGCTCTGGTGGCAACAGCAGCAACAGAAACAGCAACAGCATCAGCATCAGCTTGAATTTAAATCTTAACTCAATTTAAAGCTTGGAAATACCCCCAATGAGTTACGTTAACTGCAGACGACTTCTAGTCGTAACAGCTGTCGTGCTTCAGCTGCTGCTGCTGYTCAGTAGCGGTGCGAACGGCAATCCGGCAGCTGCTTTAAGCGGATCTACCGAACGCTTTGGCCTGCGCCTGGCCACGAGTCTGGGCCTGGCACAGCCACACAGCAATGTCGCTGTCTCCCCGCTGCTCCTGCAAACGGCTCTCACTTTGCTCTATGCTGGCGTCACGCCCAGCTCGGCGCCAACAGCTCAGCAGCTGCGCGTGGCTCTGGAGCTGCAATATTTGGGTACTCCGGAGCAGTCGGTGCAGCAATTCAAGCAGCTGCTGGCGGATCTGAAGCAGGAGGTGGCCATCGGCTGCCAGCTGCGACTGCTCAGCGAGCTCTACACTCAGCAGCGCTACACCTTCAGCTTTCGGGATGAGTTTGAGGCGCGTGCCGGTGCTTTGGGCATAGGCGTGCATCGTCTGGACTTCGACAGCTGGGCAAGCACAGCACAGCAGATTAACTATGACTTCCTGAGGCGCAGCAACTACAGCGTGGGTGAGCTGGTTAGCAGCCATTTGCTGGAGTCCACCAGCGGCTCGGACACTCCCTTCTTGCATGTCTCGGCGCTCACATTTCGCGCACCCTGGGCCCAGGCCTTCGATGCACAGCAGACGCAGCGCATCAACTTCTTTACCGAGGGCAGCCGCAATTCCAAGCTAGTGGATGCCATGTTCATGCAGCATCGCCTCCGCTATGCGGAGCTGCCCTCGCTGGATGCCTGCGCCGTTGAGCTGCCCTATGCCACAGCGGGCCTCAGTCTGCTCATCATTTATCCCAATCAGCCGCTGGGCTTGGCCCAACTGGAACGCCAGCTGCAACGCATTGATCTGCATCAGCTACGTCGAATGCTGAGCGAACGCAAAATCGCTTTAACCCTGCCCAAGTTCAGTTTGTTGGCCCACACCGAGCTGCGAAGGGTTCTGGAGCAAGTAAGTTAAATTCTTAAATGATATATATAAGATGTTTCTGAATCTAACTGTATATAGTATATAATACAACAAAATTTCTCTCTGCCTGCAGCTGGGCCTGTCCAAGCTCTTCACACCCGAGGCTCAGCTACACAATGTATTCAGCTCAATTTTGTTCAGCTCGGCGCCACATTTGACCGCTGTGCCCCACACCGTGCTGCTCGAGCTGAATGAGGCGGGCGGTGAGGCGGGACAAACTTTTGGTAAGCTCTCAAATTTAGCTTAAGACTTTGGTATTTCTTTTGACTACAGCTGCATTTTATTGTTTTCCCCTCCGTCCCCTCTCACTCCTTCAGTGGCTGCCTTCACCGATCTATTTCGCAGCACATTATCCCTGGTGATCAATCATCCGTTCTTCTATGCCGTCGGCAATGAGAAGACCCTGCTACTGGCGGGCCATGTGGTCGACATCTAGAATCGAGGACCAGAGTCTAGCGCAAAGGTTATCGGCTTATCAGCGCTCCGTCAAGGTGATAAACGATCTGTAAACAAAGCAATAGACGAAAAAAAAAACAGCCAGCTGATCGACTAATTTACGAGAATCTAAGACGTAATCGCAGCTCCAAAAGTCTCTCACAGCCAGCCACGAATTCAGTTCACATTCGGACGCTCAACGCGCGACGACGCAAAATATTAATCAAGCGAAAACAGTTTCTCTAAACGCACACACATACACACACACACATAGAGTAATATATATACACACATACATATATGTGTATTTATTTCGCATATATATAAATTGAAACAATCATGACGCTCAGCTCAGTGCAGTGCCTATTACGTAAGCCTCAATTATTGCCTATAAGATCTTTATAAACTTGTACTCGAGCATACACAAACAAAAACCAGTCTCAATGGTCTACGAAAAAGCAAAGTGACAATATTTATGGCTCGATTTATTGATAAAAATTACAATAAACCACAAAATGAAAATGAACAACGTTTGAATACCCTAGACACTGAAATTTATACATTTAATATATATATTTGTTTTATTTTATAAGATGAACTTGACTGATAATGTAAAGCTTATCAGCTGTATTGAAGTGGTTCAATGTTAATATGTTAATATGATTATATTGGATTTTGATCTATAGTAGCTTTACTGCCTTAAACTACGCGCAGCATCTCTACCAAATCATTGCAATATATTTTGGGTGAAAGTCAAGTTAGATTAGATAAGAAATTATTTAGCTAAGATTTGGGTATTATTATAAATAATATATGTATATTTCTACATACGATTCTTCTCAATTACGTTACTCGCTTTATAACACAGCTGGAATACCCCATCTCTGCTCAGTATAACTAGCCAAGAGAACTAATGGATTGTTTATGGTCTATCATAACAGAATCAAGGCTCTTCAGAGACAATCGAACAAGACAACGCGACACATAATTTAATTGGAATTTTATTCCAAAATAATGGTCTCGTATGCATATATCTATGTGACAGATGTTGATGATGACAATAGTTGTCTGTGTGGGCAAACAAGAACCCAAACTCGAGATAAGATTCATAGCTATAAAAACTTCTAAATGGTATATTACAGAACTCTTGGGGAGCTTGTCACATCGTTTTCTTCTCATTTGTGCAAAGATTAGCTTCTGTTAATATTTTGTTTGGGACCAGCTTTCAAATCTCTTTTGCATTTGCATATAAAAAAAAAGATTTTATCTGAGATCGCATTAACTGACTCTGATGAGAAAAGATATTTGTTAAGTCTCAGCAAGATTTAGATAAAGATTTACCTACAAAAAATCGATTAATTTCTATATAATATTCAGGCAAATAAAAAATTATTTGGTTATGGAAATATTACTGCAAATTTGGTAAGCTGTCAGATTTAATAGAAAATAGCTAAATCCTATATTTAATAATATCTAAAATATGCCCTTTTTTCTGAAGTATTTTGCACTCTACTACAATAAAACTTTTTACCAGTTTCCTTGGCAATTCTCGGCAGTTGCCAAGCGAGAACCTCGGCCGGCCTAGATGCTGCCCGGGATCGCAATCTGCTCGCTGCCGATCTCTACAATGCAGTGGGTGCGGAGCGACTCAATGAGAATGTTGTGATTGGCACCGCCGCCATACAGACCTCGATGGCGCTGGCCTTCTTCGGGGCCAAGGGCCAGACAGCCATAGAGCTGAAGGAGGGCATGCGCTTGGGCATTGGCGATGCGGATCAGGTGTCGCAGCGCCATGGCAGCTTCCAGCAGGCGCTGACGCGCGACAACAATCTGCGGCTGGCCAACAACATCTACATCAACGAAAATCTGGAGTTCAAGAACTCATTTCGTGATGTGGCTCAACGTCAATTCGACTCGAACATTGAGAAGCTCGACTTTCATCCGCCGTATAACAAGCGCACTGCGGCTGCCATTAATCAGGCTGTGGCGACCAAGACAAATAATCAGATTAAGGACATACTCAGGGCGGAGCTGCTCAACGATCGCACCGAGGGAGTCATTGTGAATGGCGTCACGTTCTCCGCGCCCTGGCAGAAGGCCTTCAAGCTGGAAAAGACAAAGAGTCGCAGCTTCCGCACGGGCGATGGCCAAAACGTCAATGTGGAGACCATGTGGACGTTGCAGAACTTGAACTATGCCGAGGTTAGCAGCCTGGACGCCAAGGTGTTGGAGTTGCCCTATCAAAATCAGGAGTTCTCAATGATCTTACTGCTGCCCAATCGCAAGGATGGCCTGCGTGCCCTCCAACAGAGTCTGGTGGGCAAGAATCTGCTCACCGAACTGGGCTCGATGAGCATGCAGAAAGTGGAGGTGGAGCTGCCCAAGTTCAGTGTCACTTTCGGCCTCAGCCTGGAGAAGCCTTTCAAGCAGGTGCGATAGCAGTTGAAGTAGTAGAAGAAATTCTAAGTCTAACTCTATTCATCTATTCATCTGTTCTCCATCTAGCTGGGCGTTACGACCATGTTTTCCCGCGAAGGAGACTTTGGTAATATGTACCGCATGTTCGTCAGCCACTTCATCAACAACGTCGAGCACAAGGCCCATGTGGAGGTCTCTGAGGCGGGCGTCGAGCAGCCTCTGGAGACGAGTGGTAAGCTATAGCTTGCTATATTTCTCTTTGACAATTAATACCCTATCTTTCTCTCTCTCTCTTTCTTCTCACTCCCTCAGTTTTGAAGGGCTTGTTCTCGCGCTCGAAGAAATTTGAAGCGGATCATCCATTTGCCTTTGCCATCAAATACAAAGATTCGATTGTCTTCATGGGACACATTGCTAATTATGCTTATGTCTGAGCTCAAATTTTACCCTCCAGCTAAGTTGAGGTGCAAATTAACTATCAAATTTATTTGTTTTCTTTTCTGTTTTTATGTTTTTAGTTAATGAAGGCAAATTTGATTAGCAATCAAATTAAAAGAAATAAATTTTGAATGTCGCCAGCATAAACAAATCGTAAATTTATTATTTATAGTGCTGTAGAAAAGCAGAGTAGCTGAGAACAGTTAGACGATTGCAATAAATTTGTAACCTAATGGTTATTTAATACACTGTATTTAACAGGAATGTGGGTTAAAAGAGAACAAGATGTTTATATACCTCTGTCTTATTCGAATTGGTATGCTAAATATAGATAAACTAACGTAAAAGAGTTCTGGCTATGGGGTAAAGACTTTCTGCATATTCAATTTTACAGAATATGTTCAAGTGAATGACATCGGACGTTGCATTACAGGGTATGTACTAGTCAGCAGCTTTTGGATATACATGCTTATTAAAATTAGAAATTCCAAATTTAGCCTTGACAATTGATTCTAATCAAGAAATTCGATTGGAATTTTGCTTATTTTAAGAGTCTTAAAAACAATGGAGCAGAATGATCAAATATTGAGATAACATCAAAAATATTAAATAACCTAAGCAGCTATACGAAATTCGCAGCAAAATATATAACGAAATACAAAATGCAGGTAAATGAAATCATGTTTTAATTATCAGCTCTCGAGATCTTTTATATTTTTTGTCCGGACTCACCTTTCGAGCTCCAAATGCATTTGATTTGTGGTATCCATATTAAAATCCTTGCTGAGACGCTTATCGGCTTTGTTGTTTCGCTTGATTTGCATTCACAAATATATTTAACACACACACACACACTGATGTATATCAACATACATATGTAGGTAGGTATTTGTGCACACACATAAATTAGGATTTCAACACATTTCCTATTAATTTGCCAACAAAAAAAGGCGCTGAAGGTGACTTGAGGTGAAGCCAAGCGCAGGCGCAGCCTTTTATTTATTTCTATCTTTACTCTTTACACTTTATACTTTACTCTTTATTATTATTGTTGCTATAATTTATTGGATTTTCTGTCGCGTTTTCCTAATCACACATAAATCAAGCAAATTCTTGTTTATTTCTCTTGGACTCCTTGTCGTTGTTGTTTTTGTTGTTTTTGTTGTGACAGCATCTAGTACAAATCTTTATGTGCAGTTAATTTGGTTCAATGGCTGCCTGGCAAGTGGAAACTGGTTGGCATTACACTCGATATTTGGTATTTGGAAAAGCTCAATGAGAGTTGGCCAAGTGGGAAATTTAACGCGTCACATTAATTGCTGCATTTTTTGTAGCCACTGCGCTTCATTTGACGCGAAATTGTCGCACTGTGGGGCGAATCGTGCAGATATTTTGAGAGCATTTAAAATAATTGATGCGCGTTTTCCACTTTTACTTCTGCTGCACTCACACACATACACAGACGCACGCATTCACACACTCAAGCCGAAGGAGACGGGAAAACTGGTCAACTATTTCTTCTTATTTATTTTGCGCATGTAGCGCTTAATGCCTGACAGCCTGGACGGCTGGAAGGCTGCCGTTTTTTCCCTCCTTCTACTCTTTTTTTTTTTCTCTTTTTTGTAGGTAGCCTGAGCCAACAAAAACAAACAAGCTACCGATTCTGACGGCCAGATAAGCCCAGCGCACACACGCGTGGGCGGCAAAGGTGGGCAAAGGAGCAGGGAGTGGGTAGCGCGACGCGGGCAGCTGCACACTGCAGTTTCTTATTCGCGCAAACTAAACACGCACAACAACAAAAGACGTGAAATTGAGCTAGACGCGTTCAGAGCAGCGCATGCCGAAATACGTCTGTCTCGCTTGACACTAATACACAGACTGCACGATCCTCGAGCGCGCACAATTGTGCACCTTACGAGCACACAAAGCCGAATGCTCTCTCTCTCCCATACACTCATACTCATACTCTCTTTTGGCTCCAACTTCAAATGCAACTTCAACTGTTGCGTCGGCTGGCGCTCTCACGAGCTCTTTTTCACATGCTCTCTCTCATATTGACGATCGCTCGGTTGAGTAAGAATACTGGTTACTAAAATACTGGGCACGCTTGCGCTGCCGCTATTGTTGGCGCTGCGTCTGCTCCATGTAATTGTTGTTGTAATTGTAATTCTTGTAGCGCGCCCTCGCTTCATCGCTTCATCGCTTGTGGCCAGCAGCTGCCGCTGCAGCAACGCGGGCAGCGACGTCTGGCTTCCCTATCTTCTTCCTTGTCTCTCGGCTCTCTTCCTGCTGTCCCTTTGTTAGATTTGTTTGTACTGCTTGACAAGTTTTTCTTTGTTTCATGTTGGCTTTGCGACTGGAATTTCAAGTGGGCACAGTCCAGCACCCTATTCCTCTATCTATACCTATCCCATTCCCTCCGCCCTCCTTCCACACAAACCAGCGCAGCAGGTGCAGCTGCAGGCGCAGGCTAAGGCGCTTTTAAAACAAATGCCACAAATGTCTGAAGAGCTCCCTCTCCCCATTATCGGATCGATCTGATCTTGCAGGGGCAACACGGCCTATGCCAACTGACTGCTAAGCTTAGCGCATTTCAATGCCCTTTAACCATTTGGCATGCACTTTGCAAGACTGGGAATTAAAAGAAAATATATATATTATA